ATAGATGCTTATATCGCCGGGGTGGCCTAATGGGTAAGATGTACGCTTGGAAACACGAGTATGAACAAGGACGCAGGTTCAATCCTGGTAAGAACCATAAAAACTTTCGAGTTTTTCTTCGATGACTGATGTGTAAAAGACATATGGTATGATGAATTTCGGAGCTTAGAGATGACACCCCGGTCACCGACAGGCCTGGACAGCCGGGTGCTAGGATACCTGTCCAATAAACAAAATGAAGAAAACAAATGGAAATATGAATATGAAAGATAGGGCGTTCCCTCCAAGCGACGCGCAGGGTGTAGACCTCCATCCTTTGAAAAGTAAAGTAAAGGTCAAAGCAAATAAAACAAGATGAGCAAGTTTGAATATTGGGACGCTTAAAGGTAAGACGAGAGAATTGGCATCAATGTTGAACAAGAGAAAAGTTGATATAGCGTGCATACAAGAGACGAAATGGAAAGGACAGAAGACTTTGATGATTGGAGATGGGTATAAATTGTACTATAATGGACTTGTTAGCAATAGGAACGGTGTCGGCATCATCTTCAGTCAAGATCTAACCTCCTCAGATGTAGAAGTCAACAGGATCTCTGATAGACTAATGAAGTTACTCTGCATTGGTCAATCAATACTACACATCCTTTCATTATATGCTCCTCAAACGGGTTGCAAGGAAGAAGAGAAAGATGATTTTAGAGCTATCCTCTATGAAGCTGTAATGGAAATCCCTAAGGATGACCTAGTCATAATTGGTGGTGACTTAAATGCGCATGTGGGGAAAGCAAGAGATAGCTACAAAAGGCATCATGGTGGTTTTGGATATGGAGAAAGAAATGATGAAGGAGAGCATATACTGAAATCTGCGCAAGCCTTCGACCTTGCCTTAACCAACACCTACTATAGGAAAAAGGATAGTCATTTAATAACATACGAAAGTGGTACAAGGAAAACACAGATAGATTACATACTAATCTCTCGCAGAAGATTAAAAGATGTAATAGACTGCAAAGTCATCCCAGGAGAAGATATCGCCGCACAACACAAGCTACTAGTCATGGATTTACACATCTCAAATAAATCCACTCATAACAAGATAAAACTGGAACCATGCATCAAATGTGGCAAATTAAAAACAATGACAAGATGCCTTTGCAATCAATGCAAACATTGAAACAATAGATTCCTCACAAGTCAGTGAAAAAATGTGGACAGACCTTTCATCCAGATTAATAGACACTGCCAAATCGACACTAGGCTTGACAAGAGGAGGCAACAAATCATACAAAGAACTATGGTGGTGTAATGAAGAGGTACAAACCACTTACAGGAGAAAAAAGCCCTTTATAAAATATGGTACAAATCCAAAAACAAATCCAAGAGATTAGCTACAAAGGCGGTGGCTAGAGCCAAATCTATGGCGTACGATGACATTTACGAAGATCTACATACCAAAGAAGGGTAAAATAAAATATACAGATTAGCCAAACAGCTAGAAAAGAACTCTAGGGATATAAATGGAGCTCCGAAAGTAATCAAAAATAAAGATGGGAAATTGATAATAAAGGAAAAAGAAATAATGAGTAGATGGAGAGAATATTTTCAGGAGCTTCTCAACTTTAATCCGCACATACTGCATCTAGACGAACACTCCCCTTGTCAAAACCTTGTACAACCTATAACACACAAGAAATAATCACATACCTCAAGCATATGAAAAACAACAAAGCTAGGGGTCCAGACGATATTCCAATAGAAAGCCTTAAAGCACTAGGAGATGATGGAATACATCTCCTCACAAATCTATACAATAAGATACTTGGAAATGAAGAGGTTTCCCAAAAATGGAGGCAGAGCTATCTAGTTCCTATCTTCAAAAATAAAGGGGATCCACATAATTGTCAAAATTACAGGGGCATAAAACTAATGTCACACTGTCTAAAACTATACCAAAAAATAATAGAAAAAAGATTAAGAGATATAATCGAAATAGGAGAGACTCAGTTTGGCTTTATGCCTGGAAGATCAACAACCGATGCTATCCACGCAATTAGGCAAATGAGTGAAAAATACAGGGAAAAGAACAAAAAGCTACACATGGTCTTTTTCGATCTAGAAAAGGCCTTTGATAGAATCCCAAGGAAACTTATCTGGTGGGCGCTACGCCACAAAAATGTTCCCGAAAAATATATAAGTATAATACAGGATATGTATATGGGCCATATAGCAATGGTCCGTAGCACAACAGGTACTTCAGCAGGCTTCACAATAACCGAAGGAGTTCATCGAGGGTCGGCTCTCAGCCCACTTCTCTTCATTACAGTAATAGATGTATTAGCACAGTCTATACCTCAAACAGTCCCGTGGAATATGATATTTGTAGATGATATTGTGATACTTGCCGAAACTAAGGATGAAATGAAAGAAAGACTAGTGAGTTGGATAAATATCCTAAAAACGCACGGATTAAAAGTAAATAGAGAAAAGACGGAGTATATGGTGATAGGAGGAGATGAAACCGAGAGAATTGATATTAATGAATGGCAGATATCGGCAATTGAAAGCTGCAAATATTTGGGCTCCACTATACAAACAAACGGCACAATAGAAAAAGAGATAAAGAGTAAGATTAATCAAGGGTGGCTAAAGTGAAGATCTTTATCTGGAGTGCTATTTGATAAAAGAATCCCACACAAATTAAAGGGAAAAATTTACAGTTCCATAATACAACCAACTATTCTATATTCGGAAACATGGCTAACCAAAGAATCAGACGAGAGAAGTCTACAAACCATGGAGATGAGAATGCTGAGGATGATTGCTGGGGTAACAAGAAAGGATAAAGTGCGCAGTACAAGAATACTAAGTAGTTTAAAGGTAGTGCCCATTAAGACTAAGTTATTGGTAAACAGACTTAGGTGGTATGGGCACACAATGAGAAGGCCTATGAACTACATAGGAAATAAATTTAAGAGTTTGGAAGTGATGGGCAAACGTAAAAGAGGAAGGCCAAAACTTCAATGGGGCCATAAAGTTAGAGCCAATATAAAGAAGTATAAATTAGATAAAAGAGATTGTATTAATAACATAAAGTGGAGAGAGATGTTGAAGGAGCTTACCACCAGAAAAGGTGAAAGCTAAAGAGAAAAAAAAAATCACAGATGCTTAAATAAAAATTAATTAGAAGATGATGTTGCTTCAATAAAAAAAATTTCTAACCGTAGTGAACCTTTATAAATAGCTGAACCCAACCGAACCTTTATAAATTTCTTCTTAAGAACCATAATCAAAAGGTAACCATTATAATTTTTTACATACTGAACCGTAACCAAACTAAACTGTTATAAATAAAGGTTTGGATCCCTGCTCAAAACCAGAGTTGTATAAGTGTTGTTAATTCTTTATGATATATATTTTTTTTAAAACAACCTATATATTATTCTTATTTTAAAATATCCCTTATATTGAAAAAAAATAAAAATGCCCTTTACTCTCAACCCTTCCCTCTCAATAATATAACTTAGCAATCCAAAACGATTCTTTTAATAATATTAAATAAATATAATACACATTACTATAAGTCCACTTTATTTGTCAAAACATATAACATTATATTTCATAAACATATTAAATCTTCCCAATCAATCCCGTCTTTATCCAATATCATGTCTTCTTCACTCCAAATCGCAAACAAAGACACTTTTATTGTTCTTTTCTAAAAACAACCCATGTGATGATTTTGTTTTCCTCCCATCCACCAGGAAAACTAATTCCCCTGTCAGAAAATAACTGACATTTGATGTATTATATTAAATTTATTTCTTCTTTTTTTCAACAGCAACACCTTATTCCTTTATTCTGGACTTTCATTAAAGAGCAAAGTAGACTCATACTAATCTCAAAAGTAATAGAAATACGCCTTCAGTCAAAAATTAGCGGAAGGGAAAAAAATAAGACAACTATATATTATAATTTTCTTAAACTATATTCTTCTATAAATATTTAAGGGATGTTTTTTGATAGTTTTTTTTAGTATTACAATATAAAATAAATTGATTAAAAATTTCAATATTATAACAATTTTTTTGCATAGTAAAGGCCAATAAATACTTTTCCCTTATTAAACTGATAAAATAAGTTTAATAATATTCAAAAGGTGTAATAGGTGGTAAAATTTTAAGTGATTAGCATGATGATTTTTGAAAATTATATGTTAATGTTAAAATAAAACAATTTGATTTAATAAACAAATTTTTTTTAATCCAATTGATTCTTATTTCCACACCCTCGGTCTAAAAATAAAAAACGGATCTCAATTAGTCTTCATCCACAATAGAGCCTATATATTATATCATCAATTACAATTTTATTATAGGAATACTGCGGTATAAAATATTAAAATACAATGAAAGATAAGCGTAGATATAAAAACTTCAAATATAGTGGCAAAAATATAAATTAAACAGCAGATAGATTGTAACTGGAATTAACTTTGTTCATTAAACAGAGTTCCCAAGGTTCCTTCTCGCGTGGTAATGAAATATATGTGATAATAATATTGATCCGACACTTTTATAGGTCAATATACATCTTTTCCCGACTTTATTTAAAAATATATAATATTCGGCTGAATTAAATTCTAAATATATTAATAGGATTTCTATACAGAATCCGTTACACAACCTAAACTCCGTTTATAAAAAATTAAAATTCTGAAAGTTATGGTACGGTTTAAAAATTGTAAACATATATAAAATAAAAAATTTATACATTAAACCATAAATTACAAGGACTTCTTTTTTTTTAAAATACAAATCAATTTTAATATAATATATCCACAATTTATAAGGTGCTAAATGTTTATAATAAAAAATATTATTTTTTTTTAAATTATCAATTTGATGAATTTTATTTATTTTTGAAGAAGAGAAATTATTTAAAAAATAAATTACAAATGATGTAATAATTAATTGATTAATATATACATAATATTTCAAAATTAAAATATAATTATATTTGATTGTTGATAGATTTAGCAATAAACGTCTCCTGGAGATGGATTGTCAATAGGAATTATGATTTCGTTATGTCTGTTCACAAACTGACTTGGTCTTTTAATTTTTTTTAAAATAATTAGGGAAATTTTGTAAAATAAATAAGGATAAATGAAATTATGGTTCAGAAATCGGGTTACCTTTGGTATCATCAAGTTTAAAAAAATATAGCCACGATAATTATTATATTAGTTTTAAAATATCGTGAAGTATTATATCGCTATATATGTACCTAACGAGTGACTTCAAAAAAAAACGTGGCGTTTCAAATATTTTAAATTTCGTATTTTAATTAAAATATACGGAACTCGATATCCTTAAAAAAAATTTGGAATTTGGTTTGAGAAAATTAAAAATTTTTAGCAAAAAATAACAAAACTCTAATTTTGATAAACCGCGATTACTATCGTAGTATATAAAATTAGTAAAAATGTCAATTATTTTCAATAAAAAAATTGATTTTTTTATCGCTTTTTTAAAATGATTTTTTTATATATGATCATTAATTTTTATGCTTAAATTTATAAGATTAATTTTTTTGTGTGCTTCAAATAAAAAAAACGATTAATAACATTTTGTGTTGAAATTTTCAAAAACTTTAATTTATCTCAGATTTTGTTCTATCAAGTTTGATTTATAAGAGTTATCGACGTAGTATTGAGATTCGGCGTAAGCTCTTTGATTTTTTATAAATTCCCTCATTTTCGGGTTCTTGTAATTTATTGATTTTCTGTGAGTTCTTTTTTTTTAATCTTTTTCTTTTTGATAAGTACTTTATTTTGTTAGTTACCATTACCTTAGACTACCGAAATATTAGCATTTTTTTTCCAAAAATGTATTTCCCAATAATAAATTATAAACAAAATACAAGCAAAATTTGATGAGACCTGCAGAAGTATATCATTGGACGAGCCCCGATTTTTTTCAAAAATATATCACATTTATTTAAATTTTTTATAAAAAAAAGGCTTTTTTAAACAGGGCTCGGGTATATTTTAAAAAAAACTTTTCAGGCCGGGCCCGGATATATTTAAAAAAAATAATTAAAACACGACCCACCGGGTCGGGCTAGCATGCCCAAATTTCATATAAAGAAAGAAATATAATGTTTGATCAGTTTCAGTTTCTCTATCATTTCATATAACGAACCATCAATATCATCCTCCACTGATCTAAGGTTAACTTAAACTTTTTTATTTGCCCAATTTTAAAACAAATTATCAAAAATGTTATGGCCTATTTCATTTTTTATAAACGAATGCCTTTATTTCGTTCCATACTTAAATAATATTGTGGATTTAGAACGAGAGGTTTTTTTTCCATAATAATTCCATTTCTCGAAGTGCCTTAAAGTTAGTTTGAACTGCAGAAATATTCAACTTTTTCCTAAGGAACTTAGGAATCAAACTTGGTGTGTAAATTTATTTTTCATCTTCGTGTGACATACTTTTATCAGTGTAAAATTTGGAAAGGGTGAGGTGAGGGGGTTATATCAATAATATAAAATTTCTTTGATAACCTAAGAGATCTGTGGAGGGTTTTTGCCCTCACCCATACTTCGGACGAGCGACAATCGGATTTTCAAATAAGGTGCGGGGGGGGGGGGGTTTAAAAATAGTAATAGATGAGGATGGGCGGGTGATGTTTAAAATATTTTTCAGGCCAAATGAGCAGATTAGACTTGCATATTATATATTTCTTTAAAAATACATCAAAATAAATAAATAAAAAGCCAAACAAACCAGGAATTTATATAATTTTGAAACAGACTGAGGAAAAACAAATACGTAACAACATGTGGGAGGGCTTTTCGGCTAAGAACCCGCCTATTGCAAACCTTTACCGGGTTTGCCCAAAATAATGGAAGCCTATTTTGCTCGTTTTTTTAAAAAATAAATAATAATATAGGGCTTTGATTGAGGATATTAGTTGTTCAATAAAATACAATTTTTATTTATATTTTCAAAAATAACCATTGAGGTATATATATAACATAAATTTTAAAGGCGTAACCGGAATATGAAATACATGGATTCACGAATCTCTAAAATTATGGATAATTTATTATAGGCTATCTCTTTAAAAATTATAAATATCTGATTTGATAGGACAACATGTAAAGAGGATAAATTTAAAAAAAAACAATTACAATGATAAAATATGATCATAATTGTCCGAAATTTATACTGTGGTTACTTCTTATACATACTGAAATCCATTTCCGATCAGATAATTATTTAAAATTGAGAGATTCTAAATTCCGATTAATTCCATACCTTTATGACATAGTAGACTCAAAAACTAATAATTATATTATTATAGTATTTGTTAAAAATAAAAAAAATACGCCTCTGGTTAAAATATTAAAATAAAAACTTGTCATAAAAAGCGGCAATAGGTTTATGGGTTATGAATTGGTTATTGAGTTGCAAAATTTTTATAAACTCATTCGTCTTTGAGATAAAAGTTGCCGGGAGAGGATAACCTCCAAACATTCTCACGTAGCACAAAGGATTCGAATGTTGAACTATCTTGAACTAAATTTAATTTGATTATTAGGTTGTATCCAAATATCAAAAAATGATATTCGCAAACTTTAGAAACTTATTGGAAAAAGAAAAAAAAATATAAATATAAAAATATGACCAAATTTTTAAATTTAACATGTAATTTCATTAAATTTTAAAGCTTCTGAAGATTAAAAAAAAAGATTTTGGATATGGTATACTAAAGAATAAAAAATATTCTTTTTAGATAAATTTTAGACGAGGCAATGATTAACGCTTTTCAATAATACAGTAATTTTTGCCTTAATAAAATTGACCTGAGGGCAAGTTGGTTTTGGAGGGTCAATGGCGAAAGGTGGGGGCAACATTAAAGAGATCGTTGGTCCTGCATTACTTATAAGTTCCACTGTTTGAGTACTAGTTGATGGGTTAGGCGATCCTTTGATTAAAACCGGAACAGTGAAATGTATTTTAGCGTCTATTTTATATATAATAAGCAGTAAATTCTATAAATATTGTATTCTTGAATTCGAATAATATAATATGTAGAAAACATTATATTTTTGGCTCGGGCTTTGTTTGGCTGCTCTGCCCGGAATTATTTTTACTAGTATAAATTGTCTAGCCCGGCCGATGACCAAATAGAAATGACATAAATTTAATTATTAACTTCAAAAATATTTCTAAACTGTTTTGGGGCTTTCGGGCCCTCTGTGCCGACCTCTAAACTTTATATAAATCTAATTCTGCATTTTGTTTAACATCATTAAATATATATAAGCAAAAAAGAATAATAACACAAACTTTGATCGTTTTCCCCATTGAAATAATTAAAAATGTGAGAAAAGCCAGTCCTTAATCCATTATCAAGATAATCGCTTCCATTAACGGTGTATTCGATAAATGTCAAGTCACCATATTGCCTCACTTCGTAAAGATCATTCTTGCAATTTATTTGATAGGCAGGGCAACACTGATTTCCGCAGAAATCAGGGAGTCGGCCATGTTTGCTTTATTTTGATATATATCATATTCTTATTTTATCTGAGTTTTTAATTATCTATACAAATACAACTAGTGAGGCAAAATATCTAAATTTCACTGGTTGCTATTCATAAGCAAAATCTTAAGGCTTGAGTAATATTTTACTTAATAAAATACTTATTTAGTCGTTTATAAAAAAAATCGTCCTCAAATGAAGCGATTTTACATGACTAAATACAACTACAAATTTCTCAATGAAAATTATTATTGTTTAAGTCTTGCCGGTGACTCAGAAAGGGACTTAATTTTTACCTTCCAAAACTGGCTTTGTCCAATTTTTCTACTTTTTCTAATCTTAGTTTCTTAAGTTTTAGATATTTATCCAAATTTAAAAATAAATATAGGCTTAAATTAGATTTCAAAAAACGTTAGCAATAAAAATTTAAAAAATAACTTCTTATTTTTTATACCAAAGCTACAAATTAAAACATTTGAAAAATATATATAATAACCCATCTTTGTAGCCGTATTCGTGTATGTCGTTGTGCATTTCAGCGAAAAATTTGAGGGCAGCACCGACAAAAGGTACTCTCATATAATCTATATTGGAGAGAAAGGATGTAGGGAGAAATATATCATTCGTACTATGGTGAGATTTTTTGGTTTGCACGAGTTCTTTTTTGGGTCTTACAAGTTCATTTTTAGTAATGTTCTTCAGATGAGTTTTGGGGAGAAAAATCTTTTGAATGATCTTCTTAGCCGAACCAAGTACTTCGACTAGTATATTAGCATCATAGCTATGATGGATTTTCTCTGAAACGTCGAGTTCGGCGTGATGGGAATGCTTTTTGCCTGATTTAGTTTGGTTTAAATTTAGAATTATTTTATGTTTAGCCTCAACTATAGAATCCTTAATATGGTGTTCCAATTTTTTCATCTTTTTAGAAGATTCCAATTTTTTATTTCCCTGAAAAGAAATATTTTTGTCTGAGAATAATTCCTTTGATTCTAAGATCTTTTCATGGGAAATAAGGCTATCGGCCAGTATATCATCGATAGGTTTATGATGGTGAACTAAATCATCTATGGCATCCTTGTCTTTGTGGTGTTCGGTTAATCCTAATTTCAGAAGCGCTATAAGGCTTATCAGCAGTACTAAAATTGGCTTAAACATTAATATAATAGGTAGTAAATTAATTTTCGAAAATAAGTTTATAGTCTTAATTTGTTAAATGGACGCCATGTTTACCATAATTTCAAAAGATTTTATACGAGAAAAATAAATAAAAGGTATAATAGTAATTCCCCAAACAATGAAATCGCCTACAAAAGGTAACTAATGGCATACCTTTTATTAATTAATTATCTTATGTTATTGTTAAGCTTTGTCTTTAAATATCCAAAGATTTCATCCATAAAGACATAAAATATTATTAAAAAGGGTAAATTTTTATTTTAATTTTTTTCTTTTCATTTGAAACAAGGTATATTTTAAACCGACTGGATTAATTGTACAATAACATTTTTTTTTCAAAATATTTTTTATGCGAATTTTTTTTTACATTAGAAAAATAAGAAATATTAATATCAATTTCTCAAGATTTTAAAAAATAAGGAGGTGGGGTAGGGTATTTTCTTTGTATAAAGATTATTATGACCATGGTCATTAATTCAAAGGTGTATATTATTATTATTATTTATAATATTTAAAGAAGATTGATTAATGGTAAAATTTATCACGACTAGACTCATACTTTATCTTTCCATTTATAAGTAATATAGAATCTTAATATAATACACATTCAACTCATTTTTCTATATATTAATTAGAGAACCTAAAAACAAAACCAGCCCTAAAATATGATTATGACTGACAAAAAACCGCAAATAACGAGGAAACAAGAGGTTCAAATGTTAATTATATCCGAAAAATTACTAAAACGAAATTCTAATATAAGAACCAACTCAGAATGAAAACTATCAATTAATGAACTAAATTAAAACTTATAAATTAAATGCCACGCGAACTAATTTTTGGATTTATATCTTTATTAAATAAAAATATTCATCAATTTACAAGGGTCAAAAATTAAAATCGCAAAAATATTATTATAATTTCAAAAGGTTTTATTCAATAAAAAAAAGGTTATCAACAATTGAAAAGTCACAAAAATCAAAAATTAATAAAATTTTAAAAGTGATAAAAATTAAAAAAAGTGATTTTCTTTTTTCACAAAAATATGATATCTGGTAATTTCTAATATTTGAAAAATGACTGACATTTTTCTAACTAAATACAAAACATAGATAAAAATATGATTGACACTTCTATTAAAATAAGTATCGTTTACGACATGCCATCCCTTTATGGGCTGTGGCACGCCTATAAACACACAAATAAACAACAATATATATATATTTTAAAAAAAATGTCACGGTATATATACTTTGGAACAAACATGGACGATATATAACGGGGTTGCATGATCAACTAAATTGCTATAACAGTTTTATAAAATTTTATAAAGTCCTTCGATTTTATTTGGTTAATTTAATAATATCATGATTACCTTAAATATTTCAAAAAAAATAGCTAATTCCAATGTGAATGATCATTTGTGATAGTGAATATAACTATGGGAAACACCCCACTCGAAAGGGACAATCGTTATTTCATCAACATTATTTTGGTTTTGTCGGTGATAATAAAATCTTTGTCAAATCATCTGCTTCGTTTTTTACTTCGATCTTTCTTTGTCTGCGATATTCATTCGTAATAAAGAATGTTCATTGCCTAAATTCATCATTGGTGGCACGGTGGTATTCCTTTGTGGAGTTTTGGGATAACGAAGACGTTATTATTATAAGACGAATGTTTCAAAAAGCCTGTTTCTGGCAAGATGTAAAAAGTGGCAACGTAGAGGAATGTAGCTCCCTGAATGACGTGGCATATCGTAAAGGGATTGGATCTCTATTTATCTACACTGACGTTATACATTGTAATCGGGTGGTAGTAATTGCTCTGGAAGGTGGAATGGTGGAGTAAACGATAAGTCATGAGCATTGGTTTGATAAAAATTTTACTTAAAAATTTTAACCAAAATTTTTATGAATAGAGATCTAGTGGTTATTTGTATGAACAAAGTTATTATAATACTTTTTGAAAAAAATTTATTATAATATTTAAAAAAACTTATAATATATTTTACAAAAAAAAAATTATGGTCTGATGTATTAATGTATACTATTTGCGGTGCATACATTATAACAAAAATTAAACCTATTTCTCCCATGTGCTTCAATTTTCTCAATAATATTATCACAATATCCCTTGGTGTGATCGCCAAGTGAAACAAATAACATATCACTCTAAATCAATCACGCGAATCCCCCAATAAAAATAAGTGAGGAAAAATTTTGCCATCCTAAAACTAAAAGAAAAAAAACAAAACTTTCTATTACTCTAATAAAAGATAAACATCTTTTCATTACATTAAAAAAAAACTTTCTATTATAATCTAATAAAAGATAAACATCTTTTCATTAAATTAAAAAAAACTTTCTATTAATCTAATGAAAGATAAAAACATCCTTTCATTACTTTGAAAACAAAACTTTATTTAATACCAGATAACTTAACACAATTTTTCCTTACACAAAAAAAAACTTGCTATTCATTTAATAACGGACAATATACACACATGTTTTCATTACTTTAAAATCAAACTTTATTTAATACAAGACAACATTAACACAAATCTTCATTTGACAAAACAGACAAAGACATTCCTTAACGAACCAAACTGAAGAAAACTTTCCATATCATTACCATGTTGATAAATTTATTAAACCCGTCTATATTGACCTATTTTTAATATGACCAATATATTCAGAAACCGATTTTATTAAACTCGTCTAATAGAACTATGATTATAACTGCAAATGACCAACAACCTGTCTATATTGAACTATTTTCAATATGACTAAATATATTCGGAAACCGAACCCATATGAACCCCAAACAAATAAGACGCTTCTTATTTATCCCAATCTCATATGATCGTGATGACGAACCACGGTCACCCCTGTTATTAACAAAATTTCACTTAATTTCGAACCCCGGTTCAATATGACCCGACCCTTTTCCCATTTGGTTGCCCGATTGTCGAACAATCGGGCCCAAACCTTTTGTCCCACGGCAAACCGTACCCCTAATTTTACTTCCATTGAGGTAATAGTCTTCTTCTTTGGTTTTAAGAAGTCCAAAGGACCCCGTGTTCGCCTACCTAAAAATAACTCGACAGGCGTAACTCCCTCTCGATTACGAGAATTGAGGTAATATAATTGAGACATGTAAGCCTCCTCTTTATGGGCTCCAGCCTTTTTGATCCAATTTTTAACAATGGCTACCATCCTCTCAGCCTGTCCATTCGAGCTGGGATGATATGGTGGAGCTAGAATGTGTTTTGTCTGTGACTCAACACAAAACTGTTTAAAATCTTCGCTGACAAAGGCGGGACCCCCGTCAGACACTATTTTGTCCGGAAAACCGAACCGAGCATATAATTCTCTTAATTTTTTCACAACAATTTTTGTGGTGTATCCATGTACTAATGCATATTCTATCCATTTAGAATATGAGTCTACCACTAAAAAATATGTCTTTTTATCAAGATCAAAGAAATCGATGTGGATACGTTCCCAAGGTTTCTTTGATTTAGGCCAAACCTGCCCTACCTCTTTACGGGGCATAGGAGCACATGCATTACAAGGAACGCATTTCCTGGTAATCCGTTCAATATCTTTGCCCATACCAGGCCACCATACATATTCTCGAGCCCAAGACTTCATCTTGTCTCGACCTTGATGACCGGCGTGCAATAATTTCATAATTTTACTCCGTAATTTATAAGGAATTACGGCCCTGTTTCCCCTCATAATACAATCATCAACAATTGATAATTCTTTCTGTATTTTTTTATATGCATCATATTTGTTTTTCCAAGGTTTATCTCCTGTTAGACTTAATTTTATCTGACCTAGCACTTTGTCATTCACAGTATTGGCTTTCAAATCCTCCCAATTGGTAGGACCCCCTTTTAAAATATAAGACAGAGAACGCACTAAGGCCTTCTCTCTATCACTTATACTACTATTTATTTCCGGGTCTGCACAGTCAGAACCCAACCTGGACAAAATATCCGGCAAATGATTCTCTTTGCCCCGACGATATCTAACTTCCACGTTAAAACTTCCCACTAATAACAACCAACGTTGTAACCGGGGAGATAGCATTAACTCCCTATTATCCTTTCGGAATAGGTGGATTAATGGCTTATGGTCAGTAAAAATTTCAAATTTTTTACCAATCAAATATTCACGGCATTTCGTCAAACCGAAAATCACGGCCAAGGCCTCCTGTTCAATCACCGAATATCTCGTTTCGACATCCCTAAAAACTCGGGAAAAAAAAAGGATGGGTCTTTCCACAGCATCAATTACATGTAATAAGGCTCCTCCAACACCTTTGTTGGAGGCATCAACCGCTAAAATAATTTCTAAATCATTGTTGAAACAGACTAAAATTGGCTCTTCCCCAATTTTTCCCTTTAAAATTTCAAATGCTTCTTGTTGCTCTACTTTCCAATCGAAATGAACGCCTTTTTTTAATAACTCATATAACGGGGCAGCTACCTTCGCAAAATCCTCTATAAAACGATGATAGTAATTTACCATACCCAAAAAGGACTGCACTTCAGCCTTATTATTGGGCTGCTTTAAATTTAATATATTTTTCAAATTTTTTTGCAATGGCTTCACCTCAATCCCATTTATTTGATGGCCTAAATATTCGACCTCCATTACACCCAAAAGGCTTTTCTCTTTGCTGGCTCTCAAGCCTTTACCCTGAATTCTTTTAAAAACTTCCTCCAGACGATGGTTATGCTGCTCAGGCGTTATCCCTGTAATTAGCACATCATCCATGTAATAAAATACACCCTCTAGTCCCTGGAAAACGGACGCCATGGTTCGCTGAAAAATAGGCGCTGACACACTTAACCCAAATGGTAATCTACAAAAAGCGAACAGCCCTTTGGGAGTCGTGATCGTCAATAATTTACGAATCTCCTCCCTCAAAGGTAATTGTAAATAGGCGGACGAAAAATCAACCTTTGAAAAATATTTCGCTCCCTTCAACTGGGCCAAAATTTCCTCAATTCGGGGTAAAGGATATTTAACCTCTACTACCCATCGATTAACGGTTACTCTGAAATCAGCACAGAGTCTCAATTTACCATTTGATTTCTTAACCGGTACCAACGGGGTTGCCCATACACTATATTCCACTGGAACAATGATACCATCTTTAACCCATTGATCCAATTCTTCGTCAATTTCCTTTTTCCATTCAAAAGGGACTCGACGACACGCTAGGAAAATAGGTGCAAATCCTTCCCTTAATTTTATATCTACTTGATAATCATTAAGACAACCTAATTTGTCTTCGAAAATTATTTCATACTTCTTCATTAAACGAGATATATTTTCACTCATTTTATGTAATTCAGGAATACCAATAGCCACCACTGGGGTTTTATCAATGCTAATGTTGTTTTCAACCATTAATTCCGTGGACTTTACATACCAATCAGAATTATGGGTTGAATCATTTTGTTTTATGGTTAAATCCTTCCCTTCTATTTCACAGATATTTTTTAGAGCGTTATAAGCAATATTTTGGTCCTTCGGGTTAATTATGACCGAACCATTATGTAGGGCAAAAATATTCCAATAATTACTGAAAGGACCTAACTGAACAATCCAATCCCACCCCATGATGGTTTCCACATCTTTCTTTACTACCCATAAATCTAGGAAAAATGTGGTATCATGAAGAATTACGCCCAATTTAGTTTTTCCCAAAACTATTATCTCAGACCCATCAAATTGTCTGACGCACATAGATTCTTTCTCAAGCTTACCTTTAGGCCAATACTTAAAATAATTTCTTCGAGACATTATAGAAATGCTAGCCCCTGTGTCGAACAACATGTCAATATCCCTAGAGTCAACTCTTACGATAACTCTTGGACAAGGACGAGGTTCGACTAATCTTTCAGTCATTAAAATATCATATGTTTTAATTGACGGATCAATATTAATCTCATCTGAAACATCAGTTTCATGAGAATTCTCATTTGAACATAAATTCAACTCGGAATTTAGTGGTTCCTTAACAATATTCATATTGTTTTTTTTTATATAACTGGGATATTTTTCCCATCTGAAAATATTCATATTCCTTTCATCGGAATATTTAACAATACCCAAAGGATATTTCTCCCATTTAAATTCATTAGAATCTTTATTATTTTTATCATCATAATTTAAAAAATTTCGGTTATTATCATGGTTATTTACATTATTATTTTTTTTCCATCCCGATCTCCTACCTACTATATGATTACATTTGCAATCATATAGTCAATTTTTGATACAGTTTATGGCTACATGTCCCGGTTTGTTACATTTAAAACACAAACGGGATTTGCCATAATTCGGTCGTAAAACATCAAATTTATTCGTGTTAGTACCAGAAATTTTTCTAACATTAAAATTTTCTGATGCCAATCTCTTTAACGGAAAACCTTCACGAAAATTTTGTTCTTTGACTACGCAGGTCTCTACCTTGTGACCCACATACCCACAACGGGTACATTTCAAATCTTCAAAAATTTTCTTATGACCTGAAAAGCCATTTTTTTCAATGGAAATATTTTTTCCATCTGTCCACGTCGGACCACGCACTTGGCCTTTATTACTATTACTATTAGCCATAACCAACGTATTCATATCCTGATATATAATCTTAATCATGTCTTTTAATTCTTTCAATTCCTGGAGGATAACTATAGATCTCTCCACACTATCCAAACGATCATCGTTATTATCTTTCATCATTTCCACCTTTTCAGGTCTGCCGTTCTTGATTTCATTTAAAATTCCATTTAAACTACTTTCCAAGACCGAAATCTTTTTCCAACAATCAGCCGACACCGGAGTGTCTATTTTCCAATTACCATATACTCTAGTCGCGCCCAGAGTACATTTTCCAAACAAAAATTTTATTGTAATATATAACACGTACAGTAGAACCAACAATAAAATTGTCACTACGGCATTATTTACATCAAATTTATCAACCATTTGATACAAACTTTGATAAGTAATACTCGGATACTCCGAAATTTTATCAAATACGCTAGGCTCAATATCAAAATTAAATATAAAGCCCATCTCATTATATGAAAAATTTATATTACCTTAAAACGGCCTTGTTCAATTTTTAAAAAATTTAAACAAAAATGTGATTGCGTTGTGTTCTGAGGTGAGATACAAAATATAAAATAAAATATTTTTTCTTTACCTTGAAATACCGAATAACCCTGGAATCTAAACAATCCTGGTGGTCTCGGTCACCAATGACAAAAAACCGCAAATAACGAGGAAACAAGAGGTTCAAATGTTAATTATATCCGAAAAATTACTAAAACGAAATTCTAATATAAGAACCAACTCAGAATGAAAACTATCAATTAATGAACTAAATTAAAACTTATAAATTAAATGCCACGCGAACTAATTTTTGGATTTATATCTTTATTAAATAAAAATATTCATCAATTTACAAGGGTCAAAAATTAAAATCGCAAAAATATTATTATAATTTCAAAAGGTTTTATTCAATAAAAAAAAGGTTATCAACAATTGAAAAGTCACAAAAATCAAAAATTAATAAAATTTTAAAAGTGATAAAAATTAAAAAAAGTGATTTTCTTTTTTCACAAAAATATGATATCTGGTAATTTCTAATATTTGAAAAATGACTGACATTTTTCTAACTAAATACAAAACATAGATAAAAATATGATTGACACTTCTATTAAAATAAGTATCGTTTACGACATGCCATCCCTTTATGGGCTGTGGCACGCCTATAAACACACAAATAAACAACAATATATATATATTTTAAAAAAAATGTCACGGTATATATACTTTGGAACAAACATGGACGATATATAACGGGGTTGCATGATCAACTAAATTGCTATAACAGTTTTATAAAATTTTATAAAGTCCTTCGATTTTATTTGGTTAATTTAATAATATCATGATTACCTTAAATATTTCAAAAAAAATAGCTAATTCCAATGTGAATGATCATTTGTGATAGTGAATATAACTATGGGAAACACCCCACTCGAAAGGGACAATCGTTATTTCATCAACATTATTTTGGTTTTGTCGGTGATAATAAAATCTTTGTCAAATCATCTGCTTCGTTTTTTACTTCGATCTTTCTTTGTCTGCGATATTCATTCGTAATAAAGAATGTTCATTGCCTAAATTCATCATTGGTGGCACGGTGGTATTCCTTTGTGGAGTTTTGGGATAACGAAGACGTTATTATTATAAGACGAATGTTTCAAAAAGCCTGTTTCTGGCAAGATGTAAAAAGTGGCAACGTAGAGGAATGTAGCTCCCTGAATGACGTGGCATATCGTAAAGGGATTGGATCTCTATTTATCTACACTGACGTTATACATTGTAATCGGGTGGTAGTAATTGCTCTGGAAGGTGGAATGGTGGAGTAAACGATAAGTCATGAGCATTGGTTTGATAAAAATTTTACTTAAAAATTTTAACCAAAATTTTTATGAATAGAGATCTAGTGGTTATTTGTATGAACAAAGTTATTATAATACTTTTTGAAAAAAATTTATTATAATATTTAAAAAAACTTATAATATATTTTACAAAAAAAAAATTATGGTCTGATGTATTAATGTATACTATTTGCGGTGCATACATTATAACAAAAATTAAACCTATTTCTCCCATGTGCTTCAATTTTCTCAATAATATTATCACAATATCCCTTGGTGTGATCGCCAAGTGAAACAAATAACATATCACTCTAAATCAATCACGCGAATCCCCCAATAAAAATAAGTGAGGAAAAATTTTGCCATCCTAAAACTAAAAGAAAAAAAACAAAACTTTCTATTACTCTAATAAAAGATAAACATCTTTTCATTACATTAAAAAAAAACTTTCTATTATAATCTAATAAAAGATAAACATCTTTTCATTAAATTAAAAAAAACTTTCTATTAATCTAATGAAAGATAAAAACATCCTTTCATTACTTTGAAAACAAAACTTTATTTAATACCAGATAACTTAACACAATTTTTCCTTACACAAAAAAAAACTTGCTATTCATTTAATAACGGACAATATACACACATGTTTTCATTACTTTAAAATCAAACTTTATTTAATACAAGACAACATTAACACAAATCTTCATTTGACAAAACAGACAAAGACATTCCTTAACGAACCAAACTGAAGAAAACTTTCCATATCATTACCATGTTGATAAATTTATTAAACCCGTCTATATTGACCTATTTTTAATATGACCAATATATTCAGAAACCGATTTTATTAAACTCGTCTAATAGAACTATGATTATAACTGCAAATGACCAACAACCTGTCTATATTGAACTATTTTCAATATGACTAAATATATTCGGAAACCGAACCCATATGAACCCCAAACAAATAAGACGCTTCTTATTTATCCCAATCTCATATGATCGTGATGACGAACCACGGTCACCCCTGTTATTAACAAAATTTCACTTAATTTCGAACCCCGGTTCAATATGACCCGACCCTTTTCCCATTTGGTTGCCCGATTGTCGAACAATCGGGCCCAAACCTTTTGTCCCACGGCAAACCGTACCCCTAATTTTACTTCCATTGAGGTAATAGTCTTCTTCTTTGGTTTTAAGAAGTCCAAAGGACCCCGTGTTCGCCTACCTAAAAATAACTCGACAGGCGTAACTCCCTCTCGATTACGAGAATTGAGGTAATATAATTGAGACATGTAAGCCTCCTCTTTATGGGCTCCAGCCTTTTTGATCCAATTTTTAACAATGGCTACCATCCTCTCAGCCTGTCCATTCGAGCTGGGATGATATGGTGGAGCTAGAATGTGTTTTGTCTGTGACTCAACACAAAACTGTTTAAAATCTTCGCTGACAAAGGCGGGACCCCCGTCAGACACTATTTTGTCCGGAAAACCGAACCGAGCATATAATTCTCTTAATTTTTTCACAACAATTTTTGTGGTGTATCCATGTACTAATGCATATTCTATCCATTTAGAATATGAGTCTACCACTAAAAAATATGTCTTTTTATCAAGATCAAAGAAATCGATGTGGATACGTTCCCAAGGTTTCTTTGATTTAGGCCAAACCTGCCCTACCTCTTTACGGGGCATAGGAGCACATGCATTACAAGGAACGCATTTCCTGGTAATCCGTTCAATATCTTTGCCCATACCAGGCCACCATACATATTCTCGAGCCCAAGACTTCATCTTGTCTCGACCTTGATGACCGGCGTGCAATAATTTCATAATTTTACTCCGTAATTTATAAGGAATTACGGCCCTGTTTCCCCTCATAATACAATCATCAACAATTGATAATTCTTTCTGTATTTTTTTATATGCATCATATTTGTTTTTCCAAGGTTTATCTCCTGTTAGACTTAATTTTATCTGACCTAGCACTTTGTCATTCACAGTATTGGCTTTCAAATCCTCCCAATTGGTAGGACCCCCTTTTAAAATATAAGACAGAGAACGCACTAAGGCCTTCTCTCTATCACTTATACTACTATTTATTTCCGGGTCTGCACAGTCAGAACCCAACCTGGACAAAATATCCGGCAAATGATTCTCTTTGCCCCGACGATATCTAACTTCCACGTTAAAACTTCCCACTAATAACAACCAACGTTGTAACCGGGGAGATAGCATTAACTCCCTATTATCCTTTCGGAATAGGTGGATTAATGGCTTATGGTCAGTAAAAATTTCAAATTTTTTACCAATCAAATATTCACGGCATTTCGTCAAACCGAAAATCACGGCCAAGGCCTCCTGTTCAATCACCGAATATCTCGTTTCGACATCCCTAAAAACTCGGGAAAAAAAAGGATGGGTCTTTCCACAGCATCAATTACATGTAATAAGGCTCCTCCAACACCTTTGTTGGAGGCATCAACCGCTAAAATAATTTCTAAATCATTGTTGAAACAGACTAAAATTGGCTCTTCCCCAATTTTTCCCTTTAAAATTTCAAATGCTTCTTGTTGCTCTACTTTCCAATCGAAATGAACGCCTTTTTTTAATAACTCATATAACGGGGCAGCTACCTTCGCAAAATCCTCTATAAAACGATGATAGTAATTTACCATACCCAAAAAGGACTGCACTTCAGCCTTATTATTGGGCTGCTTTAAATTTAATATATTTTTCAAATTTTTTTGCAATGGCTTCACCTCAATCCCATTTATTTGATGGCCTAAATATTCGACCTCCATTACACCCAAAAGGCTTTTCTCTTTGCTGGCTCTCAAGCCTTTACCCTGAATTCTTTTAAAAACTTCCTCCAGACGATGGTTATGCTGCTCAGGCGTTATCCCTGTAATTAGCACATCATCCATGTAATAAAATACACCCTCTAGTCCCTGGAAAACGGACGCCATGGTTCGCTGAAAAATAGGCGCTGACACACTTAACCCAAATGGTAATCTACAAAAAGCGAACAGCCCTTTGGGAGTCGTGATCGTCAATAATTTACGAATCTCCTCCCTCAAAGGTAATTGTAAATAGGCGGACGAAAAATCAACCTTTGAAAAATATTTCGCTCCCTTCAACTGGGCCAAAATTTCCTCAATTCGGGGTAAAGGATATTTAACCTCTACTACCCATCGATTAACGGTTACTCTGAAATCAGCACAGAGTCTCAATTTACCATTTGATTTCTTAACCGGTACCAACGGGGTTGCCCATACACTATATTCCACTGGAACAATGATACCATCTTTAACCCATTGATCCAATTCTTCGTCAATTTCCTTTTTCCATTCAAAAGGGACTCGACGACACGCTAGGAAAATAGGTGCAAATCCTTCCCTTAATTTTATATCTACTTGATAATCATTAAGACAACCTAATTTGTCTTCGAAAATTATTTCATACTTCTTCATTAAACGAGATATATTTTCACTCATTTTATGTAATTCAGGAATACCAATAGCCACCACTGGGGTTTTATCAATGCTAATGTTGTTTTCAACCATTAATTCCGTGGACTTTACATACCAATCAGAATTATGGGTTGAATCATTTTGTTTTATGGTTAAATCCTTCCCTTCTATTTCACAGATATTTTTTAGAGCGTTATAAGCAATATTTTGGTCCTTCGGGTTAATTATGACCGAACCATTATGTAGGGCAAAAATATTCCAATAATTACTGAAAGGACCTAACTGAACAATCCAATCCCACCCCATGATGGTTTCCACATCTTTCTTTACTACCCATAAATCTAGGAAAAATGTGGTATCATGAAGAATTACGCCCAATTTAGT